GCGAGCGCTTCGGTCGGAGAGGCGGGCCAAAGCCGGAAGCGGACGTCGTTCTTCGTCGGCCAGGCCTTCCGGTCGGTGATTGGATCGCCCTTCTGGCCTATCGTTTAGGTACTTGGGTCGTCCCATGAGTTGCACGTTTGTTTGCAACGTTGCCTGCTGGGCCGAGCCTTTGTTGGAAAGCCGGTCTGCGAGGGACCCCGGATTTATGAACCCGACCCTATATATATATATATATATATATATATATATATATATATATATATATATATATATATATATATATATATATATATATATATATATATAAGCAAACTATATATTTAGGTCATGGGATCCAAACGGGACCCTATCTGGCCCTAATCTGTTTGTTGGTACCTTGACCTTAGCTAATAGAGCCAACTAATAACTTTTTATTAGCTAAATAGTTTATTTTTGAACTATTAGCGCTTTGGTGTTTGATCCACTAGAGCTATTTTTAGTAGCTGACTATATACTTAGGTCATGGGATCCAAATGGGACCCTATGTGGCCCTAATTTGTTTGTTGGTACCTCACTATTTGGATCCATTAGCTGTTAATAGTTAGCTAGCTAATAGGTCATAGTTAATATTAGCTAGCTAAGTACTAGCTGCTGTTATTTTAATTGGTTTGGTCCACCTAGTGAGACTGTTGTTGGTTCGGTATTAGCTAATATCAAATAGCTACGCTATTAGCTAGTTGGACCGGTTTGAATCTGAAGAAGCTAAATAGTAGCAGCTAACTATTAGCTACATGGATCAAACAAGACCCTAGCTAACTTGGGTTAAAAGTAGCAACCGGCAACGAAAAGGATCGAAACATTCTCTTGCTAATGGCGCCAAAACAGCACACGTTTAGAGCAGAACAATTCCGAGGGCAAAATTGACTTGTAGCATGATTACACCTATCTATTAGCTCTTGAATCCAAACAACACATGGTTAATAGTATGAGCTAGCTAACAATTAACTCTAGGCATCATTAGCCAGCCGATCCAAATGGCCCTAGCTAGTACTAGCAGCATATAGCAATAGTGGGCATAGATTAAGGAAAGCAACAGCGCTGTGGCTACCAACAAGTTGGCAACTTTGCTATGTTAAATTGTTAATTACTTATGGGTCTCCTTGGAAGAATATACCTAAGCATGTGTGGTTATCATGCATGTATGTATGTGTGGCATGTGCATGGCCTGATAACAGTAGCACATAAAAGGGACCCTCTCATCTGTTTCTGTTGTTGTTGCTCTGCTCTTCCCCACTTATGAATTTATTTATTTATTTATGATGATGAGCATGGGCCATGCATGCAGCAGCAATTAGACTGCTGTTCGATCAGCAATTATACTATGTATGTGCAAGCATGGTCGCCGTCGTCATCAGTGTGTGACAGTCTGTAATTATACTATGAAACGCTCACGCCAGGTTAATAATCTTTGTCAACAGTCAACACTAATAGTAGCTTCCCAACAAGGACTTTTTAACACCCGATTTCCGTCGTTTCTTCCCTCCTGTGGCTGTGACAGGGAGTGCGCGCTTGCAGCGGATACGACCAAAGTGTTGGATGGAGTTTGGTGCGGAATTTCTTCGTCTGGCCTGCAAAAAGATCTTCTTCAGTACTATATTATATCATACACGAGTCTCCAGTGCAGACACAAACAAAACATAAATGGGAAATGCAACGCTGAAAAACTAGTAAAATACAGCATGGATGATGCCCGTGCGTGTATGTGTCCTGAGAGGCTGACACGTTTGTCACGCGGCCCTGGTCGTTCACCGGCCGGCTTTGTTGTTATTGTGGGTATATTATTCTTTGGATTAACGCAAAGCATAGCGATCGGATCGGATCCGTCCATTGCATTGGTTGGTAGGGTTATGCGCGATACACTTCTGCCTGCACTACTAGTTATCGTGATTATTACTTTGCCTAAAACAAAAGCTAAAAAACATGCAGTTAGGTTGCAAACATTTGTTTGTTGGACGCAAAGAGCTAGCGGTTTCCCAACACTTGGATTTCATTTTACTGAATCTGGCTTCTTTTCATGCATTTTTGTTTATTACTTGACTCCATTTCAGTGCATACAACTACTAGTATAGTGTGTTCTTGGCGTTGCCGTTTGGCAACGTATACAACTGCTGAGGAATCACACCAGTAGTACGTTCTGTAATCGAAGCACAGTTCTGAACCAAGTTAGAGAGTGTGTGCGAGAGAGAAGAGGTGTAGCAAATTGCTATGGGCCGGGGCTGTATTCAACTCACCGTTTTCTTTCGGAAAAAAGTCCACGTTACCTCCTCAACTTTCGCGAAAGTCCGCTTTTCCTCCCTGAACTCCAAAACCGGGCAAAACACCTCCCTCAATTTTTAAAACCGTTCATCTTACCTCCCTGGCCTTGTTATAGGCAGTTTAGAAGTCGGTTTTGTCTTTTCCTTTTTTATTTATTTCGGCTAAATCTTTGAAAAATCATAGTAAATCACAGAAAAATCATAAAATGGTAAATCTAATTTTTTGGACTCCACATGAGTAGATCTACACAGTGAACATATAATATGGTATGCTTTAGTACAAAGTTTTTTCTGTAGCTTTAGATCTATACTTTTCTGTAATTAATTGGAATAATTCATAAAATCTAAAACTAAGTTTACTATGGTCCAATTGAGTATGAAACTTTTATACAGTGGGCTAATTATTGTATAATTAGCCCACCATAAAATTTTATACTCAATTAGATCATGTAAATCTTAGTTATAAATTATTTATATTTAACAAGCATAAACCTAAATAAAATCTAAAACTAAATACATGATCAACAAAAACTTTGTACTAAAGCATACCATATTATATGTTCACTGTGAAGATCTACACATGTGGAGTCCAACAAAATTGGATTTTTCATTTTATGATTTATCTGTGATTTACTATGATTTTTCAAAGATTTAGCCGAAATAAATAAAAAAGAAAAAGACAAAACCGCCTTCAAAACCGCTTATAACCGGGTCAGGGAGGTAAGATGAATGGTTTTAAAAGTTAAGGAGGTGTTTTGTCCGATTTTAGAGTTCAGGAAGGAAAACGGACTTTCGCGAAAGTTGATGAGGCAATGTGGACTTTTTCTTTCCTTGCTTTGAACAGCAAGGCACCAAGTGAAGTTCGGCCCAGCCCATGAATTTCGTATGGCCCATTACCACCCAATTCATGCCATCGGGCCGCCCGGCTGCATGCCCACAGGCCACAGCCCACTTCTCCTTCTCGTCCTCCCTTGTTTTTGGGCTTGATTGCTAGGATTCTGAGTCCGACGGCAATGGCGGCGGCGGCGACTCCCGTGCCAGATTGTCTTGCGGACGGCGAGCCTGACGATGACCCGCACCGTATCTACCCCATCCTTGTTGCTCCGTCGACGCTGAACTCGGCTCCCTTGTTCCCGTTCTGGTGAGATGGATCCCAGCAGCGGCGCGGCCAGCTCCCCTTACCGCGACCTCCCGCGCCGGCGAGAAGCGACAAGGACAGGAACACCAGCGCCCTGCTTCGTCGACCTGACCGCGTAGGATCCCAGCGCAAGGTACATGCCCTCTTGCCCGTCTCTCCTTCACCCCCTTCGTTAGGTGATTGAAATGGATACATCTGTGTATGTATGTATGACAGTTCAAATTAGCTTCAGTAAAGGCTTTGAAATGTATTGTGTTTCTGTGCATTTTTCTTCGGTTCAACGCACCCGTACCTCGCAGTGGCATTGACCCTGAGATTTACTCTCATTGCATCACCTCTGTCCTTGTGGGCTATCCAGTGAACGGGACAGCATAAATCTCCCAATTAAATGAGCGACGTGCTATTATATTTGCATTTGCAACTCTTAGATAAATGGCCAGAAATCCATTGACTGTGTTGCATTTGCAACTCTTACATAAATGGCCAGAAATCCATTGACTGTGTAGCGGTCTATAGTCTTCTAGTATTATTAGGCAGCCATCCTTTGATAGATCCTTCGGTTTATCAGAACAAAAATAGCAGTGTGTCTGTGGCCTCACGAAAGGCGCTGGAACGCCCCGCCTCTAGAGGGAAACGATTTTATTTGTCATGGGAAACTCTAGAGACACGAGCTATGGACATTGCGCATTGGGACAATTATTTCTTTGCATGTGTTTCTTGAATTTCCTATATATCCTGTAGGAAATTAAATAAATTCTGTACGTCATGCAGAGTGAGCAAGCACACTCAACTCAGTAGCCCGATTTAGGCCTCTGGCTGACGGTGCTACAGCCCAAGTTCTAGAGAAAAAGAAAAAAAACAAATGTAAAAAAAAACATTATCAAAAGATTACATCTAGTTTGACCGAGTCAACCCCAGCCTCCCACTGAGCACACTAGACAATTGTTAGCATAACTTTGTTATGGTCCCGACCAATGTAACTCAGGTTAGGTGGTTATTAAATGATATGATTCGTTAGAGTATACTACCAAAGTAGGAAGTTGCTAGGAAGATGGGCCTCCCTGTTTGTATACATACAAATATAAACCACTGCACCTATCCTTCGCTGTGTACATGTACTTAGCTGTGCCCACTACCCAGTTTAAGCCGGACGCAAACAACATTGCATCGATGCACAAGCCACACACAATGAACCCCCAATTGCTCAAAGCTGTCTCCAATGGCGACGCAGACCTCTTAGCACAAAAAGGTCACAGCTAGTTTGACTGAGTCAACCCCAACCTCCCACTGAGCACACTAGACAATTGTCAGCATAACTTTGTTATCTGTCCCGACCAATCTAAGTCAGGTGCGGGTGGTTGTTAGAATGCTTCGTTCTAGTATACTACCAAAGTAGGGAATTGCTAGGAAGTTGCATAAAAGCGGAACATAGTCCCTCCTCTATGTATTATACATTTAAATTTAAACCACTGCACCCACCCTTCGCTGTGTACATGTACTTAACTGTGCCTACTGCCCAGTTTAGGCTGTCTGCAAACAACATAGCATTGATGCACAAGCCACACACAATGAACCCCCAATTGCTCAAAGCTGTCTCTACTGGCGATGCAGACCTCTTAGCACAAATCCTATCCACATCAACAAAATGCGCATGCCTAGAAGGCGTCACTGCAGAGGGCAGCTCTGCGCTGCATATTGCAGCCCGCCATGGGTACCTGAAGCTCGTTGAGATGATCTGTGATCAGGACATATCGCTCATCAAGGCAAGGAACAACCTGCTCGACACGCCTCTGATCTGCGCAGCAAGGGCTGGGCATGTGGATGTGGTCGATTACCTCATCCAGCTTGCTTCCGCCCAGCGAGATACTGAGTATGTACTGAGGGCATGGAACTCTGGTGGGGCGCCGGCGGTCCATGAGGCGGTTAGGAACGGCCATGCATCCGTCTTGGGAAAGCTCATGTCAAGGGAGGCAAGCCTTGCCGCGGTGGTTGATGGGCAAGGTGTATCCCCGCTCTACATGGCGGTTGTGTCCAACCAGGCTGACATGGTTGACATCTTGGTAACTGAATATCGTGAAGGTATTGTGAGATCGCCGGCGAGCTATGCTGGACCAGGTGGACAAACTGCACTGCATGCTGCGGTTTTTGCTAGAAACGGTACGATAACATGGATTCTTTCCTACACATCTTTCACTACCTAGTACCTACTATATCAGTTTCGTGTTTATTATATATACTTTATCTTTATTTTTTATCTTTGATTTTTTTGTGCTAACGTCATGTACAAAAACAGATCGAGGTAGTATGAGATTGGCGTGGTATTCTCTTGTAGAAATAGAAAATGCATCTGTAGACTTGGTAGTGTTTGGTAATAAGCCAATAAGGGCTTGTTTGGTAGCCCTGCTTTTGTTCCTGATTCTGTGTGTAGTGATTCTCCTAGAGAAGTGATTATGTGGCTGAAATTGATTCTCTAGGATATAAACTATATGTAGGAAGTGATTTTGTGTGGTAAGTAAATCAGGAGAGGTTATTTTTTTTTCAGCTCCCAGCCTCCTATATTATTTGAGAGATTCAGCATAGAATTATTTGTCTATGATATACTGTTTGTGCGCCAGAGCTCCTCTTGAATTCAACTCTGAGAGCTCTACCAAACAGGCCTCAAGTGTTAAGTGTTCTCTTTTATTATAGTGGTAATCTTTTCTTTTCTTTTTTAGCTCAAGAAATGTGCTTGAGTCCCTGCAACGCTGGGAGCCAACACTTGCGCAAAAGGCTGACAGCTCTGGAAGAACTGCCCTTCACTATGCAGCACCATCTGGGAAGACTGGAGTGGTCAAACTTTTACTGGTCAACAGCTTGCTTGCTTACATTCCAGATGATGATGGTCTCTATCCTGTACACTATGCTGCTATGGGCGGCTACTCAGAAATTATCCGTGAGATCATGGAGATATGCCCGAGCTGCGATGAGTTGGTTGACAAGAAACATAGAAGTATTTTGCATTGCGCCGTCGAATTCGTGAAGACTAAGGTAGTGTGGTACATCTGCAGGAACCCAAAGTTCAAGAGTATCATGAATGCGGGCGACAGTGAAGGAAACACACCACTACATCTGGCTGTAAACCATGTGCATGTATTCATCTTCTACCTTCTTATGATGGATCTTAGGGTGAATCTTGGCATTATTAACCATAAGGGATTAACACCGTTAGATTTTACCAGGAATGAGTATAGCCCTAAATATTCTTTCTCAACGGTGCAACCCTACATCATGCACTGTCAACTTTTCTTTTCTTTTTTTGGTCTCGTAATATTATTTCCTTTTATGCAGTTCTTTGATGCTTATGCCGGCATTTCCATTATATTCGACTTGGCTAGAAGTCTGAGATATAATCATTGCTTGGAAGAAGAGAAGGAATCCAGCCGATACTCCGATGTGTCCCAGAGCATTTTATGTCTCTCATACCGCTCGTTGGCCTTGGCTCGGCAATGCGGAGAGTTGCGCGAGTCCTCCGCCCCTGAGAAGGAGGACATAGCACTGGAGCATACCGCATAATGATATATATGATCAAAATCTCGGTAACTCTGTCGGCTACAACTCTAAGGTTCTGGCTTATTACTTTACTAGTATGAGTGTCTGGGCAACCATCATATAATAAGCATGATAGAGGTGAAGAATCAAATCAACTAAACACAATTCACTCCCCCCATAAAACAAAACAATTGATTCAAACCAATGCTCCTTTTGAATAGAACAACTATCTGTGCTTGTGAATTTGAGAGCAAACATGAGAGTACAAAGATACTAGCCACCCAAGGAGACATGCATATCATTGAAATACACTTGATAAAGAGGACATTGATTGGAAGGCAGCTTGCTGCCTGCTGCATCCAAGTTTTGTAAAATAAAACCATGTCACAAACAACTCAAACTTAACAAATGAAATCAGGTGACATATCTGGCTTCATGTTGATGCGATTGTATTTGTTAACCCTTGTACTCAGGCCAAAGTGGCTCGTCCACTGATTATGCATCGCTTCAGAAGCAAGCCGATGTACTGCGAAAGTATGAATTTGTATTCAAGAAGGGCCGACGAAGGAGATTTAAGCATCCTCCTTTATTCAATTGAATCCTGCAAATTCTGCCAGAGACATTCAAAACCAAAAAATAGCATCCATGAATTGAAACACTAACAATATTCTAACCCAGGAGCTTACTTTCCATAGATACAGCATCATGGCAGATAACTAATCAGTTAACTAATTTAATCACCTAAGGACATTATAGTTAATGCAAAAAGAATAGCATTATCGTCAAAACAAAATCTCCCTATTTTAATCTCATACATTTACGACTTGTCTTCACAACCTCTCGTAGAGATCATGGAAATATAAAAAAAATGATGCTACAGCTAAGGATTTGAGATCGATTAAGGCCATGTTCGCTTGTCTTATGAGCCGTACTGTTTCAGCGAAGGAATAGTGTTTTTCTCTCACAACAAATCAGCGAACAGTACTTTCAGCCATGGCTTTTCAGCCATTTCGAAGCGACTTGACTTCGAAAAAGACGATTTAGAGCAATTTCAGAGCAAGAGATGTTACCTGACTTAGTGTATCTTAGTTTCCATGTGCCGAGATGCATCATGTAAGGCAAAAAAAATTAAGATCACAACTTCTCCCTATCAGGCTTTCCTACCGACATAGGCAAGCATATAGTTCTACGTATGGCTGTACCAAGGAAAGTGTCGGTTAAAAAAAAAGAATAGGTAAAGTGCAGGAATTCACCTGCCATGCCTGCAAGTTTCAGTTAGAGTGGATCTAAATACTATAAAAAAGGGCTATGTGTACTCCGAGCTTAAGCTGCACTGCCACATACTATAAAAAGGCTAATTCTCTCTGAAGAATATATGTTTCTAAAAAGAAAACTGCCAGGCTGACCCCACACATGACGCAACACTGCCTTGTGCAGTTGGGCCGTCTCCCGACTTTCATGACATGTGGCCCATCCATAAATCCGGCCTACACAAATTCACCCCAATAGACCCTGCAGCAGGCGCCGCGGTCGGATGCCGTGGACATCCCCCGCCACGACGCCCTCACGCTCCCAAGCAAACGCAGTACGCCTACGTCCCTTACACCTGGGCCCCCGTGGCTCGCGGTCCTACATCCCAGTCACGAGTTACCCACACACCACCCTTCCTGCCTGTTAGTCAACTACTCCTCCGGCTGCTGATGCCTGATGGTGATGGGTGTGCTGAGTGGTGGATGGTCTCCTGAAGCTGTATGTCACGAAGCTGCCGCGAGCTTGCGCTGTGTGCACTGCCGCGGACGTAGACGCTTTTTGGTTGGAGGTCCCACGTGTGTATGTATTACTCTCTCCGGTTCTCTAAAGCAAGTCGTTTTAAGGTTGTCTTAAGTTAAAAATTTTAAATTTTGACTACAAATAATTTCTTTTGGGTTGAGTTTGAAAATATGAAAGTGATGTAAGTAGATTCATCTCGAAATGTAGTTTCATAAAAGTATACATTGACTATATTTTATAAATATTTTATAGTAAAAAGTTGCAGTCAAAGTCGTTTCTTAAAGACCGTGTCGATGTTCAAAACGACTTGCTTTTTTAGAAAACGGGGGAGTATTAAATAAAAAGCTAGTTTGGTTCCACCTTCCAAAGTTTATCCCTGTTAACTCGGATGTTCGATACTACTTTAAAGTATTAAATATAGATTAATTATAAAACTAATTGCACTGATTGAGACTAATTTACGAGACGAATCTATTAAGCCTAATTAACCCAAGATTTGATAATATGGTGCTATAGTAAACATGTGCTAATGATGGATTAATTAGTTTTAATAGATTCGTCTCGTAAATTAGTCACCAGCTGTGTAATTAGTTTTATAATTAGCTCATGATTAGTGCTTCTAATTAGAGGACTAAACTTTAATGATTGGATCCAAACGCATCCTAAATAAAAGACCAAGGCCCCGTTCACTGGTCTGAATCTTGACTAAAACTGGCTAAAAAACACTATCTGGCTGAATTGTTATGAGATAAAAATACTGTTCTAGCTGAAAAAACTAAACCAAACAAGCCAAATACAAAGTAAGTCGAACGGGGCCAAGAAACGAGAGGAGTAATTAAGCTTTGACAGAGAAAGAAGCGGGTGACAGGAACGAGCTACACGTTCTTTTCCACCGGTTGGTCAACCTCAAAGCAACTACCGGCCTCGAGGCTCGCGAGCTAGGCGCTGATCTGTCGGTACGGCCAGGCAAACTACTACGCGGCGGGACGCGGGCGCCAGCCGCCAGCGCGCCATCCGCAAGCAAAGTAGTATATATTGGTGGTATAATTTTTCGGCATACGAAGAGTCTATGGCCTTGTTTAGTTCGAATCAGTATTTGACACTATAATATTTTCGTTTGTATTTGACAATTATTGTTCAATCATGGTCTAACTAGGCTTAAAAGATTCGTCTCGTAATTTACAATTAAACTGTGTAATTAGTTATTTTTTTATCTACATTTAATACTCCATGCACGTGTCTAAAGATTTGATGTGACGGAGAGAGAATGAAAAAACTTGAAATCTAAACAAGGCCTATGTATAAACATGTGTGCTTAGGCCAGTATTGTAGAACACATTGTCTAAACGACCCTACACGACTATGCATATTATTAGATGCTTTAAGGGATGCACTATAGTTGAGGAGTCATGCAGTCAACTCTCGATACATTAGGGTTATATAGACTTTTAATATGTCACGTCAATAAAATCATCTTCAAAACCGCTTCATGGGTTTATTTAGATGGTTTTCAATATTTAGAGGGGTAGAATAATACCTGATTTTATTGGTGACTTTTTTTCGTGTAAGAAAATAAATTAGAGCGAACATACAAACTACCGTCCGGACCCATGGTTGGATGGTTGCGCGTGCGCGTACCAGTCTTGTAGATGGATGATCTCAGTACAGAGATATCCGGCTAGGTTAGACTCTGGATAAATTACGTTGCTAACCAAACGACGCTATTTCGATGAACACGTGCGGTTGCTAACCAAACGGCTAGTTAGGTTAGAGTTAGACTCTGGATAAATATAAATTGCGTACAAGGCTTTCTTTAGATTGGGGTTAGGAATCAGTATTTGGCATTGTAGCACTTTCGTTTGTATTTGATAATTATTGTCCGCCTAACTAAGCTCAAAAGATTCGTCTCGTAATTTACAATCAAACTGTGTAATTAGTTATTTTTTTATCTATATTTAATATTCCATACATATGTCTAAAGATTTGATGTGACGAAGAAAGAAAGAAAAAAATTTGCAATCTAAACAACGCCCAACGAAAGCGGTTCGTCAGACACGTGCGGCGGCTGCTGTGTTTCGTCAACACGTGCGTGCGCACTACACAATTTTCGATGGATCAGCCAACTCCTGCAGTTGGGACGTCATCGCTGAGGAAGGCCCGACCAAGAAGCCCAACCCGAAGATCTGCGGCCCGGAGTGGTCGTCTTCCTCGCTCTCCTTCTCCTATCTTCCCCCTTCCTCTTCCTCTAGCTACGTACGTAGGTTGCTAACAGAACGGTCCATGACGGTGAGCGGCTGAACCTGCACACGCAACAATAGTTACAAGCCGCCGACGTCTGCGTCGCCTCCGCCGCACATTATTCAGTTGCAGACTGGCAGCTTAGGTGCCGACCCTGATGGAGCCGAGACAAACATGCACCGATGCAGCGGAGACTACGGATGGCTAGCAAATGGGCTGAGTCTTAGTTAACCCACTCTGGCCTATCGAAGTTGACGTCGGGTTGTTCTTGGGTACATTGGACTTCTCTTCTGTTGCCCAAGGCAAAATCCCCATGGACCTGTTCGTTTCGCTGAAATTTGACTTATGCTAATGTGTTGTGAGAGAAAAAATACTGTTTAATCGCTGAAAAAGTACTGTTCAAATAGTGCGGTAGAACAGGTTGACTCAGTCTCATCAGCGCCAGAAGGCCCAGAACATGCAGCTCTGTGGTTCTCAACTCTAGTTTTTGGTGTAGCAATGGTTAGTTATGTGACAGATTCATAAAACACCAACTACCTTGAGCTGAGCCTCATGTCAGCTGCAAAATTCAACACAAAGGATATGTTTGGGCCCCGTTTAGGTCGCTGGCAGATTTGGCACACTGTAGCGTTTCGTTTGTATTTGGTAATAATTGTTCAATCGTTGACTAATTAGACTCAAAACGTTCGTCTCGTAAAGTACAACCAAACTGTGCAATTAGTTTTTTATTTCGTCAACATTTAGTACTCCATGCATGTACCGCAAGTTTGATGTGACGGAGAATCTTCTTTTTGCATAGTGCCAAATTTAGAAATTTGGTGGAACTAAACAAGGCTTGGTAATCTTTTTTCCCTAGATTTTACAAAGCCGTTTTTCAGCTTCTTGGTAGGTCCAAAAATCAACTTTCACATGCACGGTTCCCCAGTTGAAGCTCTCAAGTACAACTTCTTCTAGCTTTCTCTCTCTGTTATATTTCATAAGAAACTGTTTTATCCAACGTTTATGTTAAACAATTTTAGTTTGACTGGGAAAGCTACTTTATAAAATCACGTACGTTGCCATCACGTACGAAGCTTTTATTCACAGCGTAGTTCACTGAATCAGCGCGATGATTTCGCCGTCCCAAGTCCCAACAAGACATTTCCAGAATCTCATAATCCACGAGGCTTTCAGTTTCCTGCCTGCCAAAGCATACAGCATTTATCCATGTCACCATGACAAAGACTGACACTACTATCACACAGTTCTCATCACAGCAACTGAATGCCTATGCTGAAACCTGATTCTCTCCGTAATGCACGAGTCATTATTTTCTAGTACTGCAATGTAAAATCGATCGAGTGACGTACACACGCTGCTATTAAAACTTGTTGCATTATTCACAGACTCAAGTTGCATCATCACAGAACGATGGGCCGGCCGGGCTAATAGTACCCACCGACTTGCTGGTTGTACGCCATGGGCGGCATCCCATAGCCACCATAGGGCACGACGGCCATGCCGGCGTTGAACCTGGCGGGCTGCCCCTGCATGCCGCCCTGCCTGTACTGCGCCCACATCTGCTGCTCCTGCACCAGCAGCTGCTGCTTCCGCTCCATCTCCGCCATCTGCACGTACGACGGCGGCGGCACCGCCAGCGACGCCGCGAACGGGTCACCGCCCACAGTCTGCACCGTGCCGTCGGGGGCCGGGAGCCTCAGCACCGGAGCCGCCGCGCCGTGCCCGGGCAGCAGCGCCACGCTGCTCGCGCTCCCGGACACGGCTTGCGCGGCCACCTGCTGCCGCACGGCACCCTGGTCGTACATCCCGCCCAGCAGCAGCGTGTCCATCCCTCCCCCCAGCGACGCTGCCTGCTTCGAGAGGTTGCTCGCCGTCTCCACCAGCGCCAGCTCCCAGTCCGCCTTCCCGGGCTCCGCCGCAGGCGTCTGCCACGCCGAGGTCACCGCTGGCTCTGCGGCGGCGTCCGATTCCGATGGGAACGTGACCCAGGTGCTGTTCGTGGCCGGTGGGGCGGAGAAGAGCGCGAGCGCCAGCTTGTTGCCCTGCTCGTCCGCGGTGGCAGCCGGTTCTCGCAGGTCCACCAGAACGCTCTGATCGGCCTCCTTCGCCGGCACCACCACCGGAAGGGCGCGCTCAGCGGCGCTGGAAAGCGTTGGCGGCGCCGGGAGCGCCTTGATGCCGTTCATGTCGTCGACGTGGTCGTCGTCGTCGCCTTCCGCGTTGACAGCAGACTCGCGCGCCGATCGTGGCGGCGAGGCGCGTCCAGCACGGCCGCGCTCCCTCAGGAACTGCTCCATCGTCTCGAGGAGCTTGTCGTCGACGCGCCTGACGTCGGGGAAGTCGGACGAGCGCGCGACGCCGGCGTCGTCGCACCAGGCGTAGAAGGCGCGGAGCGCGTCGATCTGCTTGGCGGTGCCGACGTAGGTCTCGAAGGCCATGACGCACTCGGGGTAGTCCATGTCGAAGAAGCGATCGAGGAGGAGCGCGAGGACGAGCGCGACGTCCTCGTAGACTCTGAAGCTGTCCCTGAGCAGTGGGTGGAGCGCGGCGCGCACGACGCGGCTGGCCCCGGCGCCGCCCGCGGGGCGGCATGCCAGGACGCGGTCCAGCAGGTGCCGCAGGTGGCGCGCGCGGCCCAGGATCGCCTCCGTGTCCATGTCGGCCGCGGACGCTTGCGGTGGTCCGGCGACGCGGGAGTCGGCGGGGAAGCGCGGCGGCGTGGGGAGGAGCAGGACGAGGAAGCGGACGCGGTCGAGGAGGTAGGTGGAGTAGGCGCGGACGAACGTGGAGTGGTCCCACGACGCCGTGTGCGCCTCGTCGCGGAAGTCGAGGAGCAGCGCGAGGACCGGTTCCCCCGCGCGGCGGCCGGTGAGGGTCGGGCGGAGCAGCTCGTGGAGGAACGACGGCGCGCCGACGCCCTCGGCGCCCTCGGTGGGGTCGGCGGCGGCGAGGCGGTGCAGGAGCGCGAGGCACTTGGCGGCGACGACGTAGTCGCGGGTCTTGGAGAGGCGGCGGGCGATGGAGGCGACGCAGGCGGGCGCGGCGCCCGTGGCGGACGCGAGGCGGAGGACCTCCCGCGCGTGGCGCTCGTCCGGGGGCGCGTCGTCGTGGGAGGTGGCCCGCACGATGGCCACGTCGAGGTCCGGCGCCACCGCGCCCGTCACCCGCGCGATGCCGATCGTCGCCTGGTCCTTCACCGCGCCCAGCGCCTTGCGGATGGACATGGCGGCGGGCGGGCCGGATTGGCCGGCCTGCTGCTGCTTCCGCTGCTCCTCCTGTTGGGGATGGGATGGGGTGGGAAATGGGGTTTGGTTTGGAGGAGGAACCGAGAGAACGAATGAAGCACAAGAACAAGACGAGGACCAGACCACGCGGTTTGAGCACGAGACGACGAACGCAAATGCTGCCACGGGACGGAAACGGAAGGGAAGGACGTGGTTGCAGACGCTGACACAGGGTCCCACCCGTACATCAGCGACACGGCACGACAGCGGAAACGGTGCGATGCGCGTCTCTCTTTTTCATTTTCTTCCGTGGGGAAGAAGCTGAGCCGGTGCCTTCGAGGAGAAGAACCCAGGAAGAATCCATCCAGCCTCTCGATCTACCCGTCACCGTATCCTCCTCTCGTCCTAAAATAATCATCATATTTTAAATAGAGAAACATTAAATTATATAAACTTATAAATAATTATTTAAATTATATATAAGTTTACAACATGAAACTTGTATCATTTTTAAGTGTCTCTAAACAAATGACAATATATATAGTAAGATAAATTAACGATCAAAATTTATCTTGACTTTTTCATAATCAAAACATGCTTGTCATTATGAGAGTTAAGGAGTACAAGGTATGTTTCGAACACTTAGGCCCAGTTTAGTTGCCAATTTTTTTGGCAAAACGCTACTGTAGCGTTTTCGTTGTTATTTGTCAATTAGTGTCCAATCATAGTCTAATTAGGCTTAAAAGATTCGTCTCGTGGATTTCGTCTAAACTGTGTAATTAGTTTTATTTTTTATTTATATTTAATGCTTCATGCATGCGTCCAAAGATTCGATGTGATGGGGAATCTTGAAAAATTTAACGTTTTGGAGGGGAATTAAACAGCCCCTTATCGTATTCCCTTCTTCCTATCATACATTATGTATGTATATGTGTGCACATTTGATACCGTTCATGCGCCTGAACAGTTTTGTCTTTAAAAAAAATTATAATTGTTTATTGTGATTTATGCTAATGGATTTGAACCGTTGGACGAAGATACGATGGTTGTTAGCTGTCACATGAACAAATGCCGTATTTCAGGCACCTAAAATATAGCTGACTTAAAACAAATTATTTCAAATATGGAAAGAAGTGTCAACATACAGCCCGTTCATTTTGGCTGAATTGGCTTATAAGCCATGACTGAAAGTAATGCTGGCTGATTTGGTGTGAGAGAAAAATACTGTTCAAGCCGTGAATTATAAGCCAAATATGAGTAAATAAGCCGAAATGAACAGGCTAATAGTTATTGTGCTCGAGGTAGGAATTTTAGGCCCTGTGGAGTTTCCCTCAGTTTCAACATGTGGAGACATCTTCTCTTGCTCTCCTGATAATCCAATGTCATGTCATTATTTTAACTGGTGTGTCACCTTATTAAATGGAACGGTAGTGCTAGAGCCCGAATGTCCGGACGGACGCGCACGTTCAAACGCTCGCGCCTGCACCCTGTTCCTGCGCCTGCACTCCGCCCCCGAGCCAGCCTAACATGGCGTCTGTGCCCTGCCCGACCCCACGCGGCATCTGCGCCCTCTCACGCCCCCTCTAGCAGCTGGAGCAAGCGGGTGACATTGCAACATGTGCAACACCTGATCTACTTTTGAAACATCCAGATGCAACACTTGCAACATACGTCTGAAAGACAGATAAAACACTGGAAATATGTTTCTAAAACACTTGCAAAAGACACCTAAAAATGCTTGTAAACCATTGCAAATATATACAACATTCAGATAAAACACTTGCAACATATGTGTAAAACATATGAAATATCCACATAAACACACTTGCAACATACGTCTGAAAATACAGATGAAACGTGAGCTCGAGGACAGACGCTTACAATATACGTGTACAACCATCGCAACATATGCAACATCCCCGATCTACTTTTGTAACATCCGTATGAAACACTTGCAACATACCTCTGAAACACTTGAAACATACACTTGCAACATGTGCTTTCAACGCAACATCTCCTTGCTCCTTGAAAGAATGGAGGCTCATCGATGTGCTAGAGGCAGCGGCCCGATGGCTCTTTGTAGGCGGTGGCTCCGTGACGCGACGGGGAGGTAGCGGCCACACAATTGGGAGAGGGCCGCCGTGCACCCTACCGTCCTGCAACAACACCTAGTGGTGGTCCCCAAGATCCATCAGGTCACCGAGGCCCATGGCGTTGAATGCCTAGAGGAGGAAGCGACGAATGTACCCCAACAGCAGGAGGAGGTGGAGCAGTTGCTTCAGGAGCACCAGTTCCGAGTAGCCCACCGGACAAACCTAGGCCGACGGCGACGGGGGCTACGCTTGTCCAGATTTGCTGACTTCCCTTGACGTGTTCATGCCTCTTGGCTTGCTGCGGTGGTGGGCATTGCCCCTGTGAGAGGATAGGAGCGACTGTATGAGATGATTTTTTTTAGAAACTCCCGAGCAGATGCGAGGGAATAGTTGGGCTGGCGTCGCGGCTCACCAAGAAGCATACGGGCGGACACCGCTCGCACCGCATCATTACCAATTAAACTTCTAACGGGGACTGGCCTCATTATCATCAACCATATGTTGGGAATTTACTACTTGGAATTTTAACTATTGTTATTCAAAGAGCTAAAAAAGACGCTCAGCATCAAACAAATAAATTAACCCTACATGCCTTAACATCAAACAAATGAACTTGCCAAGTCAACATGGAAAGTTCCGTTGAAAGAAACCATACTTGGAGCCAATTCCAAGGAATCAATCAATCAAAGTCACAAAAAAAAAAAAAATCAATCAATCAGGCCTCGTTTAGTTTCTCTCCTGAAACTTTACACCATATCCCATCGAATATTTGAACACATGCACGGAGTATTAGATATAGACTAAAAAATAACTAATTGCATAGATTGCGACTATTTTGCGAGACGAATCTTTTAAGCCTAATAGTACATGATTTGATAATGTGGTGCTACAGTACACATGTGCTAATGACGGATTAATTAAGCTTAATAAATTCGTCTCACGGTTTACTGATGGATTCTATAATTTGTTTTGTTATTAGTACCCGAACACCTCATACGATACCCCTATGTAACATCCGATGTGACACGCAAAACTTTACACCTTGATCTAAATAAGGCCTCAATAATAAAGCACAATGCTAGTACCATCTTTTCTTTTGAGGTCAAGGTGCACACGACGTCTCTGCACGCGATAATCCTTCCGTTTCCTTTCTCTCTCGAAGACGCGTTCGCTCCGTCTAGTTTGGCTTGCTCCTGCTACATGCATATGAAGTAGTATAATTTTGTTTCTTTTTCGAATTGCGTCGTCACTCCTATAAGCAGTGGCGAATGCAGAATGAGAATAAAAAAAGGCTAAATAATAAAGATTTAGGACTAAGGTTAGAGATTAATAGTGATTTGAGGCTAAATAATCGTGATCTAATGAAAAAATTAGGCTCACTAGGGTGGGCTGTAGCCTTGACAGCCCCCCCCTTGATCCGCCCCTGCCTATAAACCTACGCATGCATCTCATCTCTCTAACAAGAAATTTTTAAAATGTGAGCCAATAGAATTCAAAATTAGCGAAGTTATTTTAGTTATATCGCTATCAACGAGCACGGTGTCTATTAATGAAAAAAAATAAACCTCCGCATGCATATCTCATCTCTGTAATAAGATTTTTTTTTAAATGTGAGCTGATAGAATTCAAAATTAGCAAAGTTATTTTAGTTATATCGCTATCGACAAGCACAGTGTCTATTAATGAAAAAAATATTGTTAAATTCCAAAATAAATACAGAAAAAAGAGCATCGGTACCAACCCAGATACACAAGTTTTGTTACCACCATAAGTACACACAACGAACTAAACTATGATCAGTTAATCTTGACAAACCGTTGTGGAAAAAAAGTTAATTTTGACAAGCTAATAAAGGACTTTTTTTAGGGAAAAATAAAGGACTCTTTGCTACGGTTTAGCTCACATACATGATACATACATGATCATAGTGGGCAGAGTGTCCATACTAAGTGCTTGATTTAATTAGTTAAGCTATACTCCGTATGCCTCTACTTTAAAGTTGAATGTGATAGAAGATGCGCTTGTGATTTCATTTTTTAAAGAAAAAAACAGAAGAAGCGACTGTTTTACCTTTTTAGATGATCGTATCAATTAGATATAATGATTTTGAAAAAAAAGACGCGGTTGTCATGTGTTCTGTACGCAACAGTGTATGTGTATCCCTTTGACCTCAACAAAAAGGAAACTTGGGTCTGTCAATATTCGTCCAAACAATCCTATTCAGAACTGTGTTACTATTATTCATGGGTCATCAGTGATAATACAGCAGCTGTAAATAAATACTTTTTCATCATTAATTATACACTTTTCCTATACTGCAGTCGCCTGAAATGCGACTTCTTTTCAGGCGACGTGTGGATCGTGCTTGAAGATTTGTGCGCCATGGAGCTATCTATTGGTTTTTTTTGTCCAATCGGTTGCTATCCATTACCCGTTATCATCCACCATATTCGGACACTGTTCAGATTCCTTGAAGCGCGTCTGGGAAGAGGATTGGGGCGATTTCCTCGAGCTTCGTCGCGGCGCGGCGATTGCTCCGAACGGAGTTAATGGATCCTCGTTATGACGCTGTCGGAGGTCTCCGAGCACCCTCGGCGACATCGGACCTCCTCACGTCGCGTGGTCGCTCTCTGTTCTTTGTCTTTGTACCGCCTGCTCTTTTGTTGCTCGTATCGGACCCCTTTTCTCGGATGTGTGCTCGATTAGCACGATTGGTAGCTCGAGGAGGTCATAGGGTTAGAGATTGGTGGTGTTTTGGTTCGCATTTTTGCAGGGGGTGTGCTGTGATGTATGGATGAGCGAGTTTTTTGTTGTGCGCCGGTGATTTTTGGGGCGACTTGTGTTGTGCTCGGGTGAGGTTGTTCGGCGATGCTAGGTTGTCGTGGCAGTCGGGCGTCGTAGTTTGTG